CATGGTTGTTATTTCTTTCTCTATGCTTAATGCTTTCAATTATCTGGCCAATATTTGAATTGTTTTGGAGACCTAGATTGAAACCCCAGAAGGAGATTTTTACGAATAACTTCTTGTGAGAGAAGTCGTAAGGTGCATGCGATATCTAGCGATAGTAACATGACTTGCGTGAACAATTAAGAGAACCATAAAGCGTAATGACTTTTCAGATGTTGGAACCCTTGATTTATTTTATTTTTAGTTTTTGTTCTAATTTTATTTTGCTAGGGCTATGAGATTACCAATTCTATTTAATTTAATTCATATATTTCTGCCTTCAATGAATTAATTCACTAAGAGTTTATTATTCATGGTTGTTATTTCTTCTCTATGCTTAATGCTTTCAATTATCTGGCCAATATTTGAATTGTTTTGGAGACCTAGATTGAAACCCCAGAAGGAGATTTTTACGAATAACTTCTTGTGAGAGTAATCGTAAGGTGCATGCGATATCTATCGATAGTAACATGACTTGCGTGAACAATTAAGAGAACCATAAAGCGTAATGACTTTTCAGGGTGGTGGAATTCACATCGAGAGTTAGTGGGTTTACATGCTGGGAATATATTTGATAGCATCCCCAGAATGACTATTAAATAATTTATGGTTACTCGTTCTAACACATGAATAATAGCTAATGTTAGTAAGAATAATGAATTAAAGAATATTAGATTTGGTGAAATCAGTTGCCATAGTCTTTAATTTGTTTGAGTCTTTTATTTATTTTAGTTTTATTTATTTTAGTTTTTATTTGTATTTTGGTCTTACTATTTTTCTATTTTATTTTAGGTTGTTCAAATAATTTTAGAGTTAACCGATTTCAGTACTTAATTAAAATTAACGCAATCCTCGTGGGAACGATATTTTATTCACTACTTTATTACTTGTATGTGATATTGTGCACTTGTAATTTTCACATCAAGTTCTTGGCGCCATTGTCGAGGACTGTTGTTTAATTTTGATTAATATCGATACTAATTAGCTCTAGGATTAATTTGAAATTTTTTTTCTTTTGTTTTTCTTCTTATTTTCTTTTTCGAGTTTTTTTTCTTTTGCAGGTAAAATAAAAAAAAAAATAAAAAAAAAATGATGACTGAGTTGGAGATGGGGCCGAGCCGTCATCACTTTCGCTTAACACGACACTGAACTACTTCATCGAGCTTGGGAGAGATATAATGAGCTATTGGCTAGGTTTCCACGGCATGGTATTCCAAAGTGGCTTCAACTTCAAATTTTCATTAAAGGATTGAGCATAGCGACCAAAAGTTGGGTTGAAGATGGCTATGGTGTAATTCCATTCAGTGAACGACCCGAGGAGGAAGCCTACTAAATGATGGAGGATATGGTGAAGTTTTATCAAGATTGGTACATTCGAGAGAAGTTGTCAAGGGAATTCAAGCCTATAAAGGAAGATGAGCTTCAAGAAGAAGAACAAGAACCCTTCGAATCTATTTTTGCTCAAACCTTAGCGCAGTTGGACTCTCGTGGTGTCGACACCAATTTGCTAAGTAACGAGGTGTCCATCCAAAACCATGAGTTTTATGAAGATCAAATTGCATGCATGACTATGGATAGCGAAGTTGAGAGTGAAGAGAAATTTGAGGGATTATTTGAGGATTTCCTAGATGAAGAAGAGGCACGAGAACCGTTAGAGGATGAAGAAGCATACGAGACCGTTGAATTGGGCTCATTAGTTGTCTTATCATACACACTAACAATGGATCCTTACCTCCCTCCGACACCACCATCACCATATTATGTTCTCTACATGATCGAGCCTAAAGAGAAGTTCTCTACCCAAGCTCATAATCAATCGAAGCAAAGTTGTGTTGGAACAATGAGCCGAATACTTCTAAATCATGTCAAGCTTGAGGGCATTCATAATCTAGACCCATATATCATGTTGTATGATACTTATTATGGGTGAAAGCCACCCTTTGACGAGCACTTCTACAAACGTCCGGCTGAAGACATTAAAACAAGCGCTTCCTGGGACTTGTTAGACATTAAAGCAAGTGCTCATTACTCACCATCCGCGGGTCACAATGATGATGATGGCGAGCGCTCATTACTCTTCGTGGAGTCATAGCGGGTGAAGCATGTCTCTGATGCTGAATTTTGTGCTCGTCCATAAAATGAGCATTATCCAATACTTTCTTTGGATCAAATGGATCAGGAATACCATATGGTTCTCCAAGCCATGTATGGAGGAAAAGCATTGGGATTCAAAGTATATCCACCAACATATTGTGGAGGGAAAAATCCAGGAGCCAACATACTTTCATTGACCTAAAGTGCGTTGCTGTTGGTGTATCTTGTTTTGAACAAAATTATTCTGGCATTTGTGCTGCCATTGTTCTTGATTTACTTGACTCCCAGAATTTCGAATGTTGGAAATATTAAGAGCCTTCATTTCAGAACTGTTGAGGTTAGATTTTGTATTTCATCTCTCACCGTACACGTGGCCACTCGAGCTCCGAAAGGTCACTAAAGGTTAATGGTCGACTTAGGCCACAAGTAACCCTCTTATTGGAGGACATTGATTGTCTTCTATATAAGGAAACTATATCTCCAGCAATCAAGTAACAAAGAGGCCGGATCAACTCAAAATAGGCAAGAAACTATGATTGACCGGCCGATTATGGACACAACTAGTTAAGGAAAGTCATGCAGCATCCAGAAAGGAAGGGAATATCACGAATTAAAGGTCATATCATGCAGAGAATCAGGAAACAACTCGTAGAGCATCATCAACTATAAATACAAGGCATTTGGACACAATTCGACATGCTTCTATAGCACACAAAAGCTCCTACGCTCACTTACAGCATATTTGTCTATTATTTACTGTATTTTTCTGCATACATTTCTCTCTCTCATCCCGTTCTCCTCAGAACGATTCATTGTAACACTTTTCAGCAGTTATAGTGAAACCACCAGAACCCTACAATGGACGTACCTTCCATTATCAAGGAAACCACTATAACTCCTTGCGTATTTTTACCATTTTCATTTACTCTCACATTTATTAACACCTTTGATCTCGCAGCGAATCAATTTCACCAATCGACGATTCCTAATTCGGTCATTAGCTCTTGATTTCTCTAATTGTAGAGTTTACCCTCTATAGGAACTAATGATGTTAATACTTGATTCATCATTACTCATGCTTGTAGTACAATCGCGCGACGATGAACTGGGACCCGGAGCAGATGAGAGATCGGCATTTGAGGACGTTGCATCATCTGTTCCCATATTGGACATAATATTATTGTGTGTTATAGGAGAATCATACAAGGAGCTGGAACCAGTATCATGATCCGCTGATTCCTCAGCTATTTCGTTGCTTAAAACATGACGTTGATAATATAAAGGCGATGGTGAGCCACGAAAATCTTCCTGAAAATTGCAAATAAATAAATAAGTCTGCATTTATGCCTAAAGAAACTATATCTAATCCAACTAACTATAGTTTTTATCCACACAAAAAAATTTGCAGTTTTGCGTCATGGTAGTAAACATATAATCATCTTGAAAGTTGTTCGAAAAAAAGGCGGGGATTCATTTGTATGACTTCAATTTATAAAACTTCATGAAATAAATAATTATAGGAATGAACAAATTACCATGAACAAAATGTCTATGATTATAATATTACCATGAACAAAATGTCTAATCCAAACCTTTACCTGTGTTAAGTCAGCAGCAACCGGCAATGGCATTGAGGATCAATCAGGCTTGATTTGAGTGTGCCTAGTGAGTTATCTACTAGAATAATTAGTGCGAGCTTTGTTTGAGCAAAAACTAGTTCTTTTTTTGCTTGTTTGAGATTATTTGTACGTTGAGCCTCTCAGATTATGATTATAATACAACAATGGTAGCTTAGAGGGAAAGCCCTTGACCGAGTCCATGATCTGTTCATATCACCCAGATGCCTATTCCTGCTAAGATGTTAAAATTGAAGTTTCCAGTTTTTGGTAACTGTTATTTTATTTTATTTTAATTTGAACATGCAAATTGTTCCAGTTGTACATTAAAGTTGGTTTTCAAAAAATTTATCTTGTTTTTCAAAGTTGAGTATTGTTATGGAGTTTGATAATGGAAGCTCCGAGTTGTTGCAGTGCACAATTTGAAGCTGAGTTTAATGTTTACAGCCAAAAGACATTATAAAGTATAATGTTGAGAAAGTTTTAAGTAACTAAAAAAAAAATCAGCAACAATCAAATAATATTTCGAATTAGAACCTGCCAGCAAAAATAGGATTGAAAATCTTTACAATTACAACTCTGGCAACATTGGCATTTTCACTCAAGTTGTTCACTACATTAGTTAAGAGTTTAAGAAGATTGCCATGGATTTGGAGGTCAAGCATGCTTCAAAAGCGGTACTACTTAATGTTATAATAATATAGCCCTTGTTCATTGTAATTGAAAGTTATCTGAGACACAATTTGGGAAAACTGTGGTATTCATTTTGTGATCAATTTCTTATTACATAGCCATAGCTCATTTTATTCAATGAAATGAAGAAGTTGCAAACTTTGCCTGGTAACAAGAACAAAACAGAATCATTGGAATTATTTGGATTGCAATAGTAAAAGGTCCATACAGTCCAAAGTCCAAAATCTTACGTTTTGGACATCAAATGTTCGTTAAATAGTTTGTGATTGCAAAAGGGTAAGATACAAGAGACCAACATGTGTGATAGAAAACAAAGGAAACAGATTACAAAAGCTAAAGAAAAAGAAGAAAAAAGAAAAAACTCTGGGACATTATTTTGGCCCGACATCAGAGCAAGAAGAAAACCAAACACAAACATTTTTCTTCTGCCAACTGAAATACATTAGGAAGGTAAATGTAAAACAGTTATATATAGCACAGAGATTCTTCGCCCTTTTTTTTTTTTTTTGAGAAATGCTTAACTAACTAGGCCTTCTTTCGATTTATCGGTCTGCTTCTCTCTCTTTTCTCTCTTAGATACATCATTTGGTTGCAGCCCCTTTTCCTCTCAAGTTTCGTTTCTTCACGGTTGGCATGATCACACTGTGTAATGCTGCTGGATCGTGTCGATGTCCAGCCCCTTCAGCTTCACCACCGACTCAACGTGTCCCTTGAGCGTGTGAAGCTCACGAAGCCTAAAACCAAAGATCAGAAAGAATGAGTTTTCGTTCTTAATGTCATGATGACATATTGGAAGTCACAAGGCAATGACATGAAAGACAATGTGGCTTACCTTGCAACCTCAGCTCGTCTCTTGGCCTGCTCGGCGATCTCAGAGAGCTCTCTGTAGCTGCTCTTCTCGGGGAAGAGGTTAGTAGTTTCGGGTGGTTGAAGTCCATGTAAGGTTCTCTGAGCAAGGGCCCATTGAGCTTCTCTTTCCTCTTTACCATAATCTTTCTTGGTGGTGAAGGCAGTCTGTTACACAACCAAAAATCAAAATTTTGAAAACATTTTAGATTCAATCTTGCGACCAAAATGCATTAATCTACTTTCATGGACAAAAAACGGAAAATAAGGGCATTACCTTGTTTTCTAGCAAGTTCAACCAAGCCTTTCCACTTAGGATGTAGCGGGTGGCGAACTTCATTATATCAAGCGGCACGTAGAATACAATGCTGTAAATCCAGATGACCCCGGCCCATCCCCAGTCGATTCCTTTTATTCTTGCAAAGCTCCAGTCAGCGTAGACTGCTATGAGAGTTGCTACCTGAGAAAGGACAACAAAATTAGCTAATTATAACATGGCAATTCTTTGTTTCTTTGTCATAATGAATAGGTTGTAGCGTCCATACCAGTTGTGCAATTATGAAAGCACTGACTAATAGCATTCCCGGGCGTTCAAAAAAGGACCAGCTGCGTGATCGAGTGACGAAAATGAGTGCCTGGCTGACAATACTCACTTGCAGGTATAGAGCAGCCATCATTTCATGCTCGGCATTGGGGCTCAACCTAAGATTTTTCACACCGAATTTGTCCTGCAATGGTAGGAACTAGCTTTAGTAACAGTGTTTTGAAATTAAACTTAAGAATAAAACATAAGATAAATATTCTCTTACCGAGAAGAAGTCAGTTTCCTTCATCAGCCAGAAGAAAATGACAGTCATCAATGCCAAGTAGCCTCCAAGGACAATTCCAGTTGCAAAAATTTCTTTCAATTTCCAGCTATCGGGTAATGGAGACGGTTTTACTCTATCCTTTGAGATTGTCATAATGGTTCCTTAGAAATTTCATAAGACATGGTGTCAATGCTTCAACTTAATTGAAAATGAAAACATACAAAGTTATTCCATGGTCAGTTGTTAAATACTCACCATCATTTAAGATGGCGATAATCAAAACCATGAAAGGAGAGAAGTCGAACTTCCATATGAGAGCGATGAACATGAAACCGAACTGCAGATTTGACAAGACAACAGAAGAAACTTATTAGTTTTTATCAAACCAAGACTTATGGATAACAACCTATCACTTAGTCTGAGGATTTCCATTCTACTTACCACAATACGAATTGTGATCGAAACTGCATAGATCTGAAAAAGAGAGGAAAAAAAGAGATTATGAACCTTCATTCAAAAGAAAACAGAAAAATGTCATTAAGAAGGGGAAAAAAAAGCATAGAAACAAACCGTGTAGTTCTTCATCCTCTGAAAAATAGCTCTGCTGGTCAACACTGCACTGATGATGACACTTAAACCTGGTTCGGTGAGAACGATATCAGAAGCACCTCGTGCGGCATCAGTAGCATCAGCAACAGCAATTCCGATATCTGCTTTCTTAAGAGCAGGGGCATCGTTGACACCATCACCCGTCATTCCACAAATGTGCTTCCTCTCCTGCAACTTCTTCACGATTTCATACTTGTGTTCTGTCCAACAAAACATCAAATGTAAGAAGACAAAATATTCAAATTGCAAATAGAACAGAAGAGTGCAAGTACATATCTACTGACCTGGAAACACTCCAGCAAATCCATCTGCCTTCTCGATCAACTCCTCGACGGGAAGGGCAGCGATGCTTGCATCCTTGTCTTGACCAAGTAAGGAAGCAGACGGATACATGTTTGTTCCCATTCCAAGTCGTCGGCCAGTCTCCTTTGCAATGGCAAGTTGATCCCCTGCAAGTTAACACTAATCTCGATAAGAGCTAATTGAAGAAAAATAAGAAATTCTTTCATTTTGTAGATGCCATTGCGAATGAAAAGAACTCAAAATTACCAGTAATCATCTTGACATTAACACCGAGGTTAAGAGCCCGGCGGATAGTTTCTGCACTGTCATGTCGAGGAGGATCAAAAAGGGGTAACAACCCAACAAACTGCCATGGAGCTCCAGGGCTATCCTTGCTTTTCTCAGGCACTTCCTGAAATCACAAAAACAGAAAAACAGAGGTGAGCAGAATCCAAGAATACTGCAGCAAGTCACTAGAAAAGGTCAAGATCCATTACGATACCTGTCTAGCAACAGCCAAAGATCGAAGCCCGCGTTCAGCAAACTTGTCAATAACACCAAAAACCTTCCTCTTCACATCCTCTTTGCAGTTGCATAGAGTCAAAATCTGTCACATAAGTTAATTGTTTAATCAACTAAGAGAAGTGCAAGATTAAGATAGCAACAATTTTTACTAGTCCTGAATAATAATTATGGGATAAGGTCAAAAAACAAATTAATTAAATTACCTGCTCAGGAGCACCTTTGCTTGCTCTATGCCAGTTTCCATTAGAATCAATGTAAGTCAAAGCAGTTCTCTTGTCCACAGGATTGAATGGGAAAAAGTGCACCTCTCTAATTCCAGCTCTTGCCTGCAAGAACCAATTTTTTTTTTTAGATTTTTTTAATGTACTAATACAAGGATGTAGAAAGATAAGTTTTCGATTATTTATACCTCCTTAGGGTCGGCGAGCATTCCAACTATGGCGGCATCAATAGCATCCTGGTTTTCAGTCCTAGATGCTCTTGCAGCCAGCAAGATCACATGGTCTTTTTCAACACCCTTTGCGAAGACCTCTATCAAGGTTTTATCGACGCTAAGCTTGTTAAGCGTCAATGTCCCGGTCTTATCACTGCAGAGAACATCCATACCAGCCATCTCTTCTATGGCAGTCATTCTCTTGGTGATGGCGCCTTGCTGCGACAACCTGTGGGATCCAATAGCCATTGTCACAGACAAGACAGTTGGCATGGCAATTGGAATTCCTCCGATCAAGAGCACGAGGAGATTGTCAATCCCGTCTCTGTACTTGCGGTGCTGAATTGGGTACATGACTATGATTTCAACCAGCATTCCCACGGCAATGGAGCATATGCAGAAGTTACCGATGGCAGTGAGCACTTTTTGGAAGTGACCAACTTGGTTCGTGCTGTCGACAAGATGTGCAGCCTTTCCGAAGAAGGTGTGCACACCAGTGGCAATGACAACTGCTTCGATTTCTCCTTGTTTGCAAGTTGAACCGGAGAAGACTTCATCCCCGGGATTCTTGGTCACAGGAAGTGATTCTCCAGTGAGGGCAGATTGATCCACCTTTAAAGGATCGCCCTCGAGAAGACGGGCATCAGCTGGGATGATGTCTCCTAATTTGATGCTGATGATGTCTCCTGGAACCAGAATTGCAGCTTCTTCCTCACTCCATTTGCCATCTCTAAGCACCTATATATACACCACCATGACACAAGCAATATATATGAGCATTAATCAATTTATATCAATATATTTCCAATCAATTTTCTTTCTTTCTTTCTTTCTTTCTTTCTTTTTTCCTTTTCAACTTTAAGAATTGAACTAACAACATATATTCAAATCTTTTCTAAGTACATAGTTCATAATTTTTTTTTCCCCTTCAAAGAATGATCATGTTGTTAGAGATCAGTCCTTCCTAAACCTTAAATTTACTAGGATACAGATTTGACAAAACTGAGCAAGGGAAAAATCTGAAGGGTGATTTAGGGACAAGTTGAATTTCAAACATACCACTTTCGTGGAAATTTAAGCATGATTTTTACATCAAAGTGGTATAGATGAACAACTAGACTTCAAAAAGTGGGATACAGCCTAATTAACACAAATCTGAATGCACTGAAATTAAATAGTGGAAGCTCATTTTTCATACTTCACAAGCTCTAGTTTTCGAATTAGGTTGCCTTATAAATATTTTACTTCCTAACATTTCAAATTGCAGCAATAAGATTCTTGTGTTACCTTTGTCTTGGGAGCAAGGCCAGCCATAAGCGCAGCAGCAGCATTGCCCGCGTTGTTTTCTTCGATGAAACTGATGGTGGAGTTGATAACGAGCAAGCAGACGATACCGACAAAGTCCTGCCAATCCGGGGGCTTCCCATCTCCGTTCGCAAGCACAATTGCCATAAGGGCTGCAGCCTCCATGACCCATGACAGCGGATTCCACATGAAACCAAGGAACTTCAGTAGCTTGCTCTCCTGTTCATTGCATAAACAAAATCAAAAACTATGATTGATCAGCATTGCAGTCTCGAGTATTTTCGAATAATCATATGTTCAAAGCTGGAACAGCTATGAACCATGTGACCAAGAAAACAAATGACCTTTTTCTCTTCTAACTTGTTGGGGCCAAAGATCTGAAGCCTGCTGGCTCCCTCCTCTGAGGTCAAACCCTCCCGGGTACATTTCAATTGTTCGAACACTTCCTCGATCGGAATTCGCTCCTGTAAACAATTTAGCTATTAGTAAACTGAAATTCACAGTACAAGATTGGCATGACAAAGTTTACATGTAACAAATCTGGAGTGTTAAAACTTTTGTTAAATATATAGAACAAAATTCACATAATTTTGAAAAGTACCTTATGCTAGAGAAATTATTTTGCAGGAAACATACAATATATGGACTATGGTAACATGTCCGAAAACTCCATTAACCTTTACTGTATTTTAAGCCAAGGGCCAAGGGGCCTCAAAAACAATTTTCTTACTTTCTTCACATCAAAAATTAATTCAAAAAAAAAAAAAAAAAAAAAAAAAAAAAAAAAAAAAAAAAAAAAAAACTTCCAAGATGCTGAGAGAAGCTGGCTTATTATTGGCAAACAGTCATAATTGTAGGACAAATCACATGTACGGTCTCCAACTTCACGAAATTTTTGTAATTTGTTTATTGGTTTTGCGTAAGTCTACATGTGACCACTAACATATTATAATGGCCACAACAATGCCTCGGTATTTTACAGTTAATAATAATTTGCACAGAATATATAATATATCTAAACAAAGCTCTCAATTTAAGAAAAGTCAAAATAAAGAGCCGATATAGATTTTCTGTTTTTTTATTTTTTTAATTTTGTGGATTTCTTATTTGTCTCTATTCATTGCACAAACATGGGGCGTGTAGTGTATTCTTAACACAAAACATCTTATAGTGGATGAGTGTGACTTCTCAACTTCAAAAAGGGTTTTTTTTTTTTTTTTTTTTTTTTTTTTTTTTTTTTTTTTTGCTGAATTTGCGTTAAGGTATTGAAAATAACAAATGAATAAGACATGTATAATTAAAAAAAAATAAAACACGGTGCAAATTTTAAATCCTCAAATCACATCAAAATTATATCATATTAAAATAAACATAATAGTTTAACAGAATTAGTAAAAAATTTAAGGGTCAGAACTATGACTAATAACTATAAAAGATTTTTCTCAACTTCAAAAAGGGTTTTTTTTTTTTTTTTGCTGAATTTGCGTTAAGGTATTGAAAATAACAAATGACTAAGACATGTATAATTAAAAAAAATAAAACACGGTGAAAATTTTAAATCTTCAAATCACATCAAAATTATATCGTATTAAAATAAACATAATAGTTTAACAGAATTAGTAAAAAATTTAAGGGTCAGAACTATGACTAATAACTATAAAAGATTTTTCTCTTTCTGATGAAACTTTTTTTTTTTTTTTTTGGGCACGAGTCCATGTGAGTCGACTCGCTTCTCATCGTAACGAATTGGAGAGAAAAATCAACGGTTTACCAATATAAGTTCTACGGAAGCTAGCCAACAAAAAGCGTTGACCAAAGTTTATGACAAAGAACAGATTAAAAAAAAATTAAAATGTTTTAACCAAGCTAGGTGGGCCAGGCCCGACCTTTTTCACGCTCACATGTGAATGGGACGTGCCGCACACGCGCTCCGAATCCCAATAAAGCGTAGGGGTACCAGTGTAATTAAGAGGTTCATCTAAGGGTAAATTAGGCATAACAGAATTCCCAAATTTGAGAAATCCGAGAGTAGATGGATGGTGTCATGGAGAATCCAGGAAAATCTAAAACTAAAAAAATAATTAAAATATATAATTAATTGATTAATTAGAAAAAAATAGTATTCATCTTGACGAAATTAGGATGACGTTTGGTTGATAAATTTAGAATTATGATTCAAAATTATTTTTGATTTACGTGTATTTTTTATGAAAAAAAATATTATAACGAGCCACGAATTATGATCCGAATCATGACACGAATCTTCTAATTAAGGAGACGTTTAGTTCATGGATTACAATCATAAGATTAGAACTATTTTTGATTTACGTGTATTTTTTGTGAGAAAAAATACTGTAGTGAACCATGAACCATGATTCAAATCGGAGTACGAATCTGTCAATTAAATAACTCATAAATGTTCCCTAGAACTTCCCACTTATAAAATGGTAGGTCTTATTAAGTTGAGTTTCACATATTTACGCAATAAGACACTTCGTGTGTGAATAAGGGTGTTTTTAATTAGGACGAATAAGAGCACTCTTAATGAAAAACGTTTCAACTTAACTAAAGTCTAAAAAAGTAAAAGAAAGCAATTTTGCTAAAGTACCACGGAAAAAGTACTTAAATTCCCTAAATACGAAACAAACAAGGAAAGAGAAAGAAAACAAATAGATAAGAGCACAAAAAAAAAAAGACAAGGAAACCATTTTATTATACAGAATAAAAAAAAAAAAACATTTCAAAAAAATTTATGGTGAAAAACTCATACTACCCTGTCATTTCACATGTTCAGATCCAAATTCCAAACCCAAAACCAAGATGGGCACTCTGTTTGATCCGCGAGAAAATAAGAGAAAACGGAAAGGAAAATTATTTTGACTTTTGGGACCCTTTTTTTCATGCATTGAAAAGAGTGATTGTAAGTTGTAAAAGATCACAACTTTTACGTTCTGTTGCAGAAGACAAACAGAACAGAGAGAGTGGCAGAGGAGAGAATTTTGCTCGATAAGATTGGAAAAAAAGTGGCACATAACCAAGAATGAATTAGCAAAAAAAAAAAAAAAAGCTATTTTTTTCTGCGATCCCATTTTTGTCTGATCTGGAAATGGACCAAACAGTACTAAAACCAGAAAAGAAGCTCAACCCAGTTCAGCAATGAATACATAAATGCATAAACGAGATACAACACACGTGCAACATCAAGATTTTCTCGAGAAAATGAGCAAGAAAACGTGAGGGAAAAACAAAGATATTCATATAGATACATATATATATATATAGATAGATAGATACCAGATCAACAGTCTCATTTTTTATCTCCTCCAGACTGATAGCCTTGTCCTCGCCCATGTTTGAAACCACAACACAATCCAAGAACCAACAGAAAAAAGAAGTGATAGATAATTAAAGTAGAGGCTTTTGATACAAAATCTGAAGAGAAATATCTACGAAGGGGGGAAAAACTCAAGAGAAATTAAGAAAAGGCCATTAGATCGAGAGAGAGAGAGAGAGGAAATTGTGTGATATCCCAAGAGAGAGAGAGAGAAGAGAGAGAAGAGAGAGAGTAAAATATGAGGAATTTGTGAAATGGTGATGAGTGATGCGACCCCATTTTATACTTGTCTTCCTTCACCAGAGAAGAGCCTCATAATGTGACCCCGCCGTTTAATCCCCTCACCAAGTGGGGCCTCTCTCTCTCTCCTCTCTCTCTATTATTACCGGTGACTTATCGGTTGCTACTAAACTGATGATATTGACGATGGTATGAGTGATGCTGCCTTGGGGTTACAACCCGCCCCTTGCAATTTCATACCCTCTAGGGTGGGGTCCAACCAACACGCTGACGTGGCTTCTCCCGTTTGCCACCCGGCACGTTATGTTATTATAAAGGCTTTTTTATTCGAAGATTCCCTCAACTTTTTGAATTTATCAATTTAACCCCTACTTTCCCTTTAATTTCAACATTTTTGCAATTAAGAACTAATGGAAACGGCTTTTTTTTTTGTTTTGACCATTTTGATTATGTGAGCCATATGTGAGCGTCTTTTGAAGAAAATGAATGCCATTTCTCATCATTATAGTGTCTTTTAAAGGTAATTCACTTTTAAAAATTAAGAGTTATTTATCACAACTAACTATATTATGATATATTAAATGACTCTCTCATTAATATGATCGACAAATGGTGTGTGAAATTATCGTTTGCGTCCCAAAAGATGCTTATGTGCACATTTAAGTTATCAGAATCGTCAAAAAAACTATGTTGTTTTCAATTGGTTCTTGATTGCAAAGTTGTGAAGTTGAAGGAGTTGATTGGCAAGAAAAAATTTAGGACTAAATTGCCAAATTTGAAATTTAAAGGGTGTCCGTAAAAAAAAAGCCTTCAAAAAATTAAAAGATTAATATTAAATTTGACTCCTAATTTTTTGAACCAGGGTGATTTTAGTCTTTGGATTGAGAATCATGATTCATTATTTGAATCATGATTCAGGGTGATTAGAATCTTTGTTTGGATGTGTATATGCATGATTCTGATTCTAACCTGAAATGTGATTCGATCCAGTATTTGGTTGTCTTGTTTTCTGAATTTGAATGATGACCAAAATAAATGTAAATAATTATAACTCAAAATTATAATAAATATAATTTGTTATGTGTAATTTAAAAAAATACAATTCGTTATATAATTAAAAAAATGAAGTATTAGAATCAAAATTATAATAAGTTAAGTGAGAAATAAATAGAAAAAACGTGCCAATTGTAAAAAAGTTGACAGATAACAAATGTTCAGGTTGAAAAGAGAAATTAGTTTACATGATACAAACGTCAAAATTTTTTTGCGAATATACTAAATACATGAAATATGAGTAGTAAAGGTAGAATCTCATTGCCGATATATCAAACTTGTCTCCCACGGCTTCCCTGGCATTCCACCCACATTTTATTCGTAAGGTGATCCCTAAAACGACCCATCTCTGTACGACTAACACTACCGGCTATTATAATTGGCCCTTCAGGGATATTACCATCGTTGTCATCGTTATCAAATTCATCATCATTGTTTGGATCTATTTCACTTATCGGTATACCATCACGGTAGTACTGATTTAGAAGCGGGTCTCCCTCATTAACCATGTGAATGAAATTATGTAGTATTGCACATGCCATTGGAATCTTCACTTGTTTATTCATTGGATACGTATTATTGGGGTGCCTTAAGATTGGAAACCTAGCCTTCCAAACCCCGAATGTTCACTCTATACAATTTCACGATGACGAATGTTTGTAGTTAAAATATCTCTAGCTCCCTGAAATCCACCACTTCTCCTTCTATAATCAGGCAAATGGTAATTCATGCCCCTGTAGGGAGCGAGAAAACAATCATTATTCACATAGGCCTTATCAACAAGATAGTATTTTCCTGCGCAACTTATATAAATTAGGATGCAATTTATGCCCGATACTATTTAATAACCATAACTACAAAGACATTATGATGTATAACCTGGTGGGGGACGTGGGAACTTAAACCTAGGATTGGAGAGCGCATCCGTGAGTATTCGTGCATCGTGTGCTGAACCTTCCCAACCAGATAGCAAGTACGTGAACTTCATATCAAATGATAGGATCCCACCCAACTCCTGTATGGTTTTACAGCATTTTGAACGCTGAGTAAACCTTACTAAGTCGGCTGCGTTTCTCCCTCAATCGCTCACCCTCTGGTACGTATCCATCAAAAAAACTGGCCATCTGAGCAGCCATTGGTTGTAGTCACGTGATTCTAGTTGCTTCGTATGGTTTAAGCCATGGTATTCGTACAATCGCTCAAATAGGAACGCCTCTGCTTGGGCGCTCCAATATAACGGCCTCTCATCTGTGCTTCTCCTAGGCATCTACAAACGCATATGACATTGCAGTTTGGAGGACCATGTGTGCAAAGAACAGGGCATGGACAATTGTTTAAGAATACAACCACCTAAATAAACAACCAAATAACAGTGCAGGGACTAGCCATCTACATAATTCAGTTTTGAGAAGGCTGTGTTTTTTTTCTTTCCCGAGTTATACACCAAAATCACAAGGCAGGAAGAATAGATTGCAATGGCATGTGCAATACTACTTATCACAGGGCAGAACCAAAATTCCCGGTTTGGCAAAGTTCTTGTAATCAAGGAATAAGAATATGATTATATGCGGTTTTGGTGGGAAAACATATTGCATGGCAGACTTGTCATCACAGGGCATGATCATATTGCATGTTGCATTATCAAGTCCAGTCTTTCGGTGGCATGGCAGACTTGGATATAAAAATATGATAAGCATTATAAATCCTAATTTGGACTCTCCAAGAGCAATAAAAACAATATCAAAAAATAAACAGTAAGTAGTGGTTTATTCTCGAAACTACAAGTTAGAATATGGATCCAAACATGGCAGTTTTCATACCCTAAAGTCATTTTAGAGTAAAGTTCTCGAAGCTTAAAGAGGGTATCTATCATACATTGCAGTTTTCATACCCTGAAGCTAAGGGACAATACACAACAGATTAGGAACGCAAAATTGCTTCTTTTTTTTTCTCCCTTTAAGCCCAAAAGTTTCCTAAACCACCTAGTGGCCTTGCAAAATTTCTCCTCTTTTTGTTCAAGAAACTGCATTATGTCTGAATAAAAGTGATGCCTAAAGACGTTCAAACACTATCTATAACAAATTTTTTTCTAGTTCGGAACAAACTAAAAAGATTGGAAAAGTAAAAATAATAATAATAAAAACAACTCAGAGCAAAAAAAAAAAAAAAAGTAAAATACAACTGCAATCAAAACACAAGCTTTGTTTGAATTCCTCTAGGGTACATCCGCCGAGATGAACCCATTCAAAAGACCAACCATGCAAAACAATATCTTAAGCATCTGCAGATCTGTAAACAAAAGTGAATAAGGTGAGGATCGCATACCGTTACAGAGTTCGAGCAAGAGGAGGAGATGAACAACACCGCCGGTAGAAAACCAAACACAGACGAAGGTGTTCTAAAATTTGTCTGTTCGCTTCTGTTTCCTCTCCGGTAAGGGCAAGAAATTGTGTAGTGCAGGCTAAATTTGTACCGAATGTGAAGCTTCCGTCGATTGTTCACGAGCAACCTACTCGAAGGGGTAGGCATCAACCTAGAGAAAAGGCTTCCACCAAGATGTGGGTTCTTTACCCGGTTAATATGCGAGAGGGCATAGAAGCGATAAATTTTTTTGGAGAAGGGAAAAGGCTGACTCGATTCTCTGAAGGAGCTCGAGAACAACGAAAGCCTGAGAAAAACTGGAGATTCTCTGGTAGAATAGTCAACCGTGAGCGTGAGGAAGGTGGGAGTCATTACTCCGTTACTGTTTGTGCATTGTGCGGAGGGATTGAAGTTGGGTTGAATCAGGGAGGAGATTCCAACCCAACGGACTAAAAAATGGATCTAAACATGGATTCTTGCATTTGACTTCGAATCATGAACCCGAATCCTTCAACTAAATGGACCCTAAGTATTGTTTTATTTTGTCATTGAAGCGTTTTAGAATACTTAACGGTTATACTCGTGTGCGTATGTGATAATGTTAAGGGTAATTTTTGGAAAGTTTTAATTACGTATGAGTCACACAATGAGTAAACATGATTAAAAACAAAAAAAAATAAAAAAAAATTGCATAATCTCATGCGAAGAACTTCTTTTGTCATTAATTGAGATTTAACTTGTAATGGACAATGTGAGACATCTTCTACGGTTTGGAGGCCAAATTTGAAGTTATTCAAAAAAAAAAAAAAAAAAAAAAAGAAACTACGTTCACTTGTTATAGACATTTCTCTAGTAGATTATGAAAAAATAATATTATTTGTAGAGTACAATAATAAATTGTTAAATTTGTATCAAATTTCATTAAAACCGTCACATTTTGTTTTAATGTAATATGATTCTTCTGTGAGTGTTTTTTATTTCAATAAACCAAACAGAATTCTTAGAGGGAAAAATATGTCAGAATTATGAAAGAAAATAATAATAATATGTCAGAAAATTTTATAGTAAAACAATGCATACATTTGAACAGTCAAATTACATGATAATTGTGTAATAAAAAAGTATAAATTTAAAGGAATTTGACGGGTTTGAAATTTACATTAATACATAATACTGGAGGTTTAAAAAATCTCTAATTATGTTTTCTTTTCTCTAATGTTACTCATTTAAACATATTTGTTTAGCTTGAATTGAAAATTCAAGAAAATAGAAGCTTCCTACGCTATTATCAAATTATGTGAGGATATCTATGATGTTAGGAATTTTTTGTTCTGCTAAGAAACAAAATTTAGGTTTATATGATTGACCGGGAATTGCTACTTAGTGGTATAAGCTATATATAGCCAATTTTTTCTCAAGCATCCTCGGATTTTCAACTTTTGACTAATATTATTTACGAGAGTAATTGCTTCTTTGATATTGATTTATGTATTAGTATCAGCTACATTAGGCTATATATTAATTGCATTAATATTCTACTTTAGTA